TGCCTCTTCTCGAGTCTCCGAAAAGTATGGGCTCCTCGTCACCCACCCGAAAAGTATGGGCTCCTCGTCACCCACCCGAAAAGTATGGGCTCCTCGTCACCCACCCGAAAAGTATGGGCTCCTCGTCACCCACCCGAAAAGTATGGGCTCCTCGTCACCCACCCACCCATTACTGCATTAATATGATCAATTTATTTGCAAGATAGCGCACCAGCGTGCCTACCGTCCCTGTCTTACTGCCCCCATTTATCTGTATTTACTTGCTTTGTTCATGTTTATGTTACTTGTACTGGTTACCTTATAAATGTGAGACAAACAAACAAACAAATAAATAAGACAGATTTGAACTCCCATTGCAACTTTAGAGGCAACTTTACATAAGAACAGCCACTGCGATCTTCTTCTGCCAGCCCAGGCGAGGTTGCTTTTATTAAAGGCTCGCAACCTCACCGAGATCAACTGCAGCAGGGAACCCTTCTCAGTTCTTCCTTGTCAGCCCCCATCCCACCCCACCTCCCGCATCCGCATCGTGGTACTTTTTGAAAGCAGTTCTAAAGGCGTAGCGGCCCCTACTGACAGGCCAAGGAAATGCACCTTTAAAGGTCTCAGCAAGTGCAAGTCTGGTCCCAGAGTGGCGGCCTCTTTTTAAAGTGTTAGCAACAAGCTTTTTCTAAGGTTCATTTCTTTTAGAGCCCCGAGGGACGAAACTGTTTTCCCGTTAGTTCTCGATCCGATAACAAAAAACAGAGGGGTTGCTCTCGTTGTTTTACTAATGCTCGTGTCTCCACAGTGGATAATTTAGAAATTTTTTAAAAAGTTATTCTTCCCATACCGGGAGTCGAACCCGGGCCGCCTGGGTGAAAACCAGGAATCCTAACCGCTAGACCATATGGGAGGAAACTGTCCAGCTGCTGGCAAAAATGACTGATAGAGGTAATGGTTCAATAAAAGCAATTAACGTTTCTCAAAAGGTTTTTTGAATTTCTTATTATTCAGTCTTTTACAAAATATTGGTAGCTTTGATTAACATCTTTAATGCACTAGGATATCTTTTATCTTCTCACCCATTCCTCAGGAATAAAATCTCTAAGCTTGAAAACCTCATTAAGCATTTTCTTGTCTTGCTTCTTTCTTGTGCTTGGACAGTGGGTTTAATGGTGGTAGATTATTTTTTTTTGTATTTCTTTTTTACTTTTTGTACTTTCAAATGTACCAAAGCTTTGTGCTCTATGAAGGATGGGCATGAATCCGTCAGGTCAGCTCAGCATACTTCTTCAGCATTTCTGCTTACCTTTCTGGAAAAGCTTTTGCTCCAATTTTCTGGAGAAATTCCAGCAGATATAAGAAGGAAGATCTCCACCTGAAACCCTCAAATCCAATTGCCTACTAAAATAGAATAGGCAACCAGTTTACTTTTGAATAAGGTATGATAACTACCCAACAGCACACTGATTTAGCGTGCTGTGAACTCAGTCGTAGCTTTATTTATTTAGAAATTTTATATTGCCGTCTACTCGCACATGGTGACTCAAGGAGGGTTACAAGGATATAAAAACAGCATATAAAAGAAATAAAAATAATAAAATAATCCCCCACCAGAGTGACAACACACTAGGGTGTCATTTGATTTAAGGCAATTTCTAATATTCCTCTAGTGCCTTGTCTCTCAATACTTTTAAAAGAATGATTTAGGGGCTCATTTTCAAAATCACCACAACTTTGTCATTAGAAGAAATTAAAACATCAATTAAAACAGTGGGTCTCAACCTTCCTAATGCCGTGACTCTTTAATACAGTTCCTCATGTTGTGACCCCCAACTATAAAATTATTTTATGTTTTCCATATTTTTTCAAAAATAGGTGTTTTCCAATGGTCTTAGGCGACCCCTGTGAAAGGGTCATTCGACCCTCAAAGTGGTCCCGACCCACAGGTTGAGAACCACTGAATTAAAATAACTACAGTAGGCAGATGAAAATTTTTTATTAAAATGAAAACCATAGTTTCACTATTGCACTTTTTCTTAAAGAGATACATGTCCAAGTAAGACAATATAGGGGCCTATTTCTTTGGGGTTTCCCCTTTTTTCCTTCAAGATATCAAATTTTTAAAAGCCCCCACAGATTAATCATAATCAAAACTTGTGCCTCATGTAAATCTGTTTTTGGTTTGATAGATAGAAAAGTTTTGCTTACAATGAAAGCATATAAGACATATGAAAATTAAATTACAAATCAAAAACATTTGTTTCAATACTTTAAGAGACATATTGCCTCAGACATATAAGAAAAAAAGGCAAAATGAAGAACATACACACTAAGGTAGATTTTACAGCTATGCTTTATTTTAAAATACATCCATCCATTTTTAGCTTTGTGCAAACAAATCTTTCTAAAGTGCACTTGTAACTTACAAAGCCATTAATAATTATAATTATATTTTATAGAGAGATTTAAAAACGGTTCAGGACACACATAGATATTTTCAAAATGGCTCCAGTAAATATAAGCTACACTTTATAGCTTATATTGTATCATTAGAGATGATCATTATTGATCAAGGAGAGTACTGCTTCTTTCCAGCAACCAGTTTTTGTTTTTTCCCCAACAGTGACTTGTAATAACTCTGAGTGGCTTCAATTTCACTTTGTATTGAGGCAATTTCTGCAGCCAGGCTGATCCCTGAAACAGGACAAGATGAAAAAGGGGTTATCAATAGGCAAAAATCTAAATAGTATTTTGAAAGAGAGAAATTCCATTCTACTCTGTCTCCTAAATTGGACTGTTTCCAGATATGATAGAACACACAACTTCCAAGTTGTCAAGCTCTAACTGGGAATTCCAGTAGATGGAATCTTCATTTATCTGTGTGGCATTTTGATTGGAAAAACTCTTTTATGAATGCTAAAGATCTCTAAAAAGCTCATTTGACTTTGGGCCAGTCACTTTCTCTCAGCCCAACCCATCTCACAGGTTTGCTGTTGTTGGGAAAACCAGGAGGAGGAGGATCATTAGTTATCATTATCTTGAGTTGTTTATAAAAATAATAGATGGGATATAATTTAAATAAATACTTAAATTACAGATCTGGAGCAATGCCCTTATTCCATGTAGGAAGTGTCACAATATAATGGATTTGAGTTGAATACCAGAAATTTAGTCTGATTCCTCAGATGGTGACTACCATAATATGAACAGAACTTGGCCACAGAGCAACAGAGGTGGCATTCAGCAGCTTCTGACCAGTTCTGGAGAACCGGTAGTGGAAATTTTGAGTAGTTCGGAGAACTGGTAAATACCACCTCTGGCTGGCCCCGCCCCCCATCTATTCTCTGCCTCCCGAGTCCCAGCTGATTAGGAGGAAATGGGGATTTTGCAGTAACCTTGCCCTGGAGTGGGGAGGGAATGGAGATTTTACAGTATCCTTCCCCTGCAGAGCAACTCCCAAAATTGATGCTCTGCTTCCCAATGGCAGCTTTCACATAAGAAAGAAACAGCTACAGGATATATATTTTTTCCTTAGAACTTTAAACAAGGAATCAGAAGGGGACACACGTGCAGTTGGCATTCATTGTGATTATCCCAGCTGCCTTTTTCCTCACCTTCTCGGAAAGTCTTTTGGGCTTGTCGGAGGCTTTGAGGCACAAGGATACCAAACCAGTTCAGGGGGTCATGGTGGCCTAAGGCCTCTGCAGGCTGGGATGCTGTATTCAGGGGTTGGGCCACATCCTCGGCTCTTCCTGGACCTTTTCGTCGTCGTAGAACTAGAAGCAATCAAATGAAGTACCTTCAATCAAAGGAGACTGCAAGCAGGGAAATGGATGTTGTTGAACTACAATTCTCAGGATGTCTATTGTAGGTTCTTTTAGAAAGCACAGTTGGACAGTTCTCATTCCTATCTCTGAAGAGTAATTCAGTGGCGGGTTTCAAAAATTTTTAGAACCTCTTCTGTAGGTGTGGCCTGCTTTGTGGGAGTGGCTTGCCAGCCATGTGACCGAGTGGGAGCGGCTTGGCAGTCATGTGACTGGATGAGCATGGCCCAACTTGTAAAATGTGGTGAAACTCACTTAACAACGCTCTTGCTTAGCAACCAAAATGTTGGCTCAGGAACTCTGGCATTTGAAGCACGCAAGTCTTAAAGCTGTCAAGTTACAAGACCCTTCCACCCCTAACCCTTTAGAAAAAAAAACCCAGGGGTGTTCAAACTTGACAGGTTTAAGACTTGTGGACTTCAATTCCCAGAATTCCTTTTCTCGCTCTTCATCTTGATGATGTGCAGATGGGTGGGGGGGGAGGGAGCTGGAACCAGTTCTAAACGACACGGTAGATTTGTGGAACCTCTTCTATAGAAGAGGTTAGAACTGGCAGGAACCCACTCCTGGAGTAATTGAGGCTGATTTCTGGTACTTTCAGTAGCTTCCTTGAATTCTTCCTTTGAATTGTTGCATTGTAAGTTTTCATATTATTGGGGACAAAGAATTTCTGATTTGTGCTCCTATTGTACAGTGTTTATTTCACCAAATTGTTAGATCTTTGGTTTTTATTATTCATAAACCAATAATCATTTTAAGAGCCATCTGACAGAGAAAGATTCAGACAGACCTTGGCAAGATCATTGCAGTTTTTTGTGAATTATGATCAAGTTGGTTCAAAAACCTTGTGAGTTTTGTTCCTTTACCTTGTTCACTGGGGCCAATTTCTTCCACAATAGTTGGGCTTTCATCCTTGCCTTTGAAAACATCTTCTGCGATCACCTGAAACTGAGTGTGCCCATCTTCTGCCTTGCTAGATGGAAGAAATAGAGAGACATATGCAAGACTAAGCATTTAGCAATAGAGATGATTATTATTTGGGGCTCTCTGAGATAGAGATCATTTCAGTTTTAGTTCTCTTTCTTCATTGGTGTACATTATAATTGCCCCTATTAATGTTCCAGGACAACACTGTGACATTATGAGGGAAATATTGGGTCAAGAGTTTCCAAAGCGTTTTCCACATGGAATGGGGATTTGAATCTATGTTTTTCCAGTCCTCATCCCAAAATCAAAGAAATAAAACAATCCTCCAGTACTGATTTTATCAACAAAGCAATCCAAAATATCCATAACAAAACTTGTCTCGCATGTCTAAAACCTTAGAGAACACAATACTCTCATAATTAAAGTTTGATTGAATACAGTCAAGTGAAACAGTCCCTTCTTACAAAGGGAGTTGGATTAATAATTCCTGGAATTATTAGGACGACCTGATGCTTTGGATAAACTATTATGGAATGGAGCAATCTTCTCCAAACTAATACATCTAGCTATTTAATTCCTACTCTTCTCCTGCTGAATGGCAATGGAAATAATAGCACTAAATAATAGTTTAAATATTTGCAAGGAGGTTCCAATAAAAAGAACACAAAATAGATCCCATCTGGTTTTAGAAAAATTCAAAAGGCAAGAACAAAAGCACCTAGTTACTCTTTTTCCCTTTCATTGAAGGTCATTATACTAGCTAGCTACTTACTATTAGCCCCTGGATTAAAAACATTTGATTTATACATACCTTATACTTGTGAATGGACTATTATTAAAAATGATGGATGGCATTCTCCTTCCTTGAGATGCTAAACCACCGAAGCCATACAATGTTTTCATGAACTGTTGAAGTCATGTGCATTTTTAATATTGGATAATGAGATGGCCAGCAAAACATTGTGCGGTTCATAGGCTTGAGGAAGGAAAATTATGTCCGCCATTTGTATTAATAGGCAGTCTGTTCTTAAGTCCAAGTTCTGACTTAGATAGAAATTTGAGATAAAGACAGACAGAGGATTGGAACTCATTCTTAACTGGACTGAGTTTATACAACACATTAAGCCATAAATCATAATTCATTAAGCACAATGATTGTGTCTGTGCAACTAAACCAAAAAGGAAGGCAACCATATTTTGGTTTAGCGCAATGTATGAGCTACTGCCTTTATTCCCCACCATAAAATTTCCTTCCTTGTCAACATCCAACAATTTCCCCACTCACCTAGTTTCTATCCGAACAAGTGGTGTCATCTGGTGTCCATATTGCAGGGTAGATACAGATTTGTTACCCATGGCATAGCGAGATTTGGAAAGTGAGAACCAACCCTGCCGAGACAAAATCAAAAACACACCTTTCTGACCCGATAATTTCAATAGGAAGAGTTACAATTGCCAGAATTCTTAGTCATCTTGAAAAGAAAATGAACTGATTCTGGATTTTATGATATTGGGAAGACAAAGGCAATCTCTATGACACATGTCCCAAAAAGGAATCAACAGCTCTGTCCAACTGCAGCAACAGGGAAAGGGAAAATGACCCCATCATTTGGCAGCATGCCCTTGGACTTTACCCAGGTCTTATGTTCCATGTTCTCACCTGCTCCACCATGCTATTGAAAGCTTCCCTCTTGGTCTGGAGCATTTCAAGAGCATCAAAAAGGTGAAGAATAACACGATCTAATTCCTCGCATATTTCAGTTTGTCCAAAGTCCTCTGCGGGAGCCATCTGAATGGAAAATTGGACAATTGATCCTATTCAACCTTGTGTCACACAGGTTTCAAGAGTTTCTGCTATAATAGAAAAAACATCCATGTTGATATAAATTATTACCTTATATATTTAATTTGCACACAGTCTTTCCATCAAATAGTGTTCAAAACCACTTAACAGCAAAAAAAGCAACAAATAAGTTTACAGGTTGAGCAGTTAAAGCCATTTGCAACCTATTTAACCATCAGTTAGAGCCAGATTTAGATGCATACAACTGGTAGAAGCAGATTCCCTGCCTTTTGTCCCAACAGCACTATTTTTTTCAAAATATTGTAAAGAAGTTGGGCAAACCCACTGAATGGGATATGATCCAGTGGAGAAGAAAGGATCTCTGAAAACAAGGCAAAGTGAAGAATGCTGACAGAATGATAGTGGTCCTCAGGCTCTCTACCACATTTAGCAGGACCTTACAAGTGTGTGTGATATTTAGAAAGCATTTAGGACCATAAGAGAAAGGAAAGGTAAGAAAAGCTTGTTTCTTTCCATCCAAATATACAATCTTTGTATCTGTGTCCATATTTGCAAATCACTCTGGCAGCTAAAAACTTGTCTGAATCAACACAACTTCTGCTGTTGGAAAGGCATAAAAGAAGACTTGAAGTAAGCTTCCTTTGGCAAAATATATTAGGAGCTATCGCAGTCAGGTATTGTGGTGAAAATATTAGCCACAAACTGACTGGAGTCAGGAAGGCTTACTTCTGAGCAGACATATCCAGAATTGCTCCGCTTCATCAGGCCTGATACCACCACCCTCACCTTTCTCTTCCCTTTTAAAACATGTAAACTGCATATTTGATGCTTTATTTTCCCAACCTTCTTCCAGAGTTCAAAGTGATTAGAGTATTTGAGGACTTTTAAAGAAAGTCTGGGAAGTCGGAAGGGGATTAGGGAGGGGGGTTTAGGGGGGGGAGGGGGGGAGGGTGGAAATACAGTTTCAACTTATAGAATAAGAAGAATGCACTCGTATACTGTTGCTCTTTTTTCTTTCTTTTTTCTTTTTCTTTTTCCCCCTTTTTAAAATTTTTTTAATTTTAGTGTAAGATATAAATTGAATAGATTAATGAATAGAGAAATACACCAAAGTGAGAAGTAGAGGGAAAGAAGAGGGAGAAGTAAAGAGGGAGAGAGAGGGGAATGTAAGGAGGGCGAGATGGAGGGAAGGGGAGAAAGGAATGTTTGAGGGGGAAGGGAAGTAGAAGAGGGGAATGTTGGAAGGGAGAAATGAAAGTTGGAGGGGGAGAAGAAAGGGTGTATGGAGGATGGAAGTGCTATGTTGGTTTTCCATGGTGGAAGATGAGTTGTGTTTACTGCTTTTTTTTTTTTTCCCAAATGCACAGTATATAAGTGATTGTATAAAATGAAAATGAAAATGAATAAAAATTGTTCAAACAGGACTTTTAAAGAGTTCTGACTGATCTATGAGTTTATTCTGCTTCGTTACACCCATAATTTCAAGGGCCAGATATTACACGAGCGGGTTGCATTACTGTAAAGCTAATGATGAATCTGTGTTGATATTAGGGAATCACAGTCTTACTCGATAGCAGTATTTGAGGGGATATGCCACAAAGAAGGAGGAGTCAACTTATTCTCCAAAGCACCCGGAGGGCAGGACAAGAAACAATGGTTGGAAACGAATCAAAGAGAGACGCAACCTGGAATTAACAGTGAGGACAATCAACCAGTGGAACAGCTTGCCTCCAAAATTGTGGGTGTGCCATCGTTTGTCGTTTTTAAGAAGAGTCTAGACCAGTGTTTCTCAACCTTGGCGACTTTAAGTCCTGTGGACTTCAACTCCCAGAATCCCCCAGCCAGCAGAGCTGGCTGGGGAATTCTGGGAGTTGAAGTCCATAGGACTTAAAGTCGCTAAGGTCGAGAAACACTGGTCTAGACAGTCATTTATCTCCTGCTTGAGCAGGGGGCTGAATTAGAAGATCTCCAAGGTCCCTTCCACCTCATTCTATTCTCATTCTAATTTATGACGCCACAATAAAAGAATCCTGAGATGCCACAAGCTCATTCTTTCTACCTGCAACTGTGATCGGCTAATCTAAAGAAAGGAAGAAAAAAAAGATACCTTCGCAAACAAATATATCAGGGTAACGTCGCAGGTCTTCCTCTAACGAAGACAGCTGGTCGCTCAACCTCCCCCAAGTTCTCTCACTGCATCCGATCGGCTTTTCACAATTGACTTCCTATACTTCTGCTTTTAAGACATGACTCCACCTTCTTTTCTTCCGCGGCCAATAAGATTAGAAATGTTCCTCTTTGGCCAATGGGCTGCAAACCGAGGTAGAGAAGCGACCATACAGCTTCGAATAATAAGCATAGCCGCTTCCGGTTGTGAAGTTTTCCCCCTTTATCTCTAGAGTGGCGTTTCTCAATCTCAGGAATTATGTTGGGGCTTCAACTCCCAGAGTTCTTCAACCAAGTCGCTCAAGTCCACATCAGTTGAAATTGCTGGGTGGATAAGCATTTGTTCTAGAGTAGAGGTCCCCAAACTTGGCCCCAAGCTATTCCTCCCAGCTATGCTGGCTGGAGAATTCTGGGAGTTGAAGTCCACAAGTCTTAAAGTTGGCAAGTTTGGGGACCTCTGTTCTAGAGGCTTAAACAGGGACCATGTTTATTAAGGGAGGTGTGTGTGTGTGTGTTGTATATACGCGGGTTTGTATGTATGCTGCGCCTTCTGATATTTCGGACAAGGCATATATATGACATATATATTTTGAATCGATAAAGCTGACCAAACAGATTCACCACCACCACTACCACTACCACCACCACCAAAGGCTGGGAAATGTATGGGTATCAGATCAGGGATGAAAAAATCCGGTGGATCTAAATATTTTGTGTGCCGTCTCGCCGTGGTAAGAATGCTGGCAACTCAGTTCCGGTTTCTCTCCTAGAAGCCCCAAGAGCATTTTCATTTCTCCTTCAGATTGGAGTCTATGGGGGCAGAAGTGTGGAAAAATAGACGAAATATGAAACAGGATCCACTAGATCTCTGTTCCGTATTTATGCTCCCCACCCCCTTACCGATGGAAGGGAATCAATTTGGAGAGGCACAGAAAGAGGGAAGGCAGAGAGGGTGGGGAAAAACCTAGATCCCAATATTTCAATATTCCATTAGAAAAAGAAAATCTCGACAATGTTACTCAACAGCCCATAAAGCTATAAAGGCACTACGAAGCGGTATATAAATCTAAATGTCATTGCTATTGCTATGCGGAAACATCATCTGCGCGCGCATTTTACTGACGTCGCCGTGAAGGCTTCGGGCACGCGTTCTCATTACGTCACCTCCCCTTTTTTCTGCCATGTTTGTTGTGGGCCTGAGGCTTCTCCCTTTGGGTTTTTCATTCTCATCTGTTATAGGCCGTTTCTCCTGACCAATGGGAACCGACGTCAAGGGCGGAAGTGATTGAAAGAAAGTAAATCGTAACGTGGTCGAGTCGGGGAATCTAGGGGAGATCATGGTAAGAACTATTTTTTGTGCATGTAGCAGTATTTCCTTTTTTTTTTTGGAAAAATGAGCAGTAATTGGTTTTGCTTGCTGGCTAAGAGAATAGAAACAGTTTCCAGATTGTTCAATTTAGACTTTGTCCAACGATTCAATGAATCAATGAAGCCTCAGGATAGTAGACATTCTAATCAAGACTAATTCGGAGCAAAGAGCATAGATTTTGCATATGCTATTTAGAAGTTACCTATATTTTGATCATGCTTCTCCCCCTGTTGCTTCCTAGGTATATTAAATTACATTGGTTGGCAATGCTGGTTAGATTTTTTTAAATTGCTCCATAATTCTTCAAATGTCTACTTAGCAATCCAACTAAATTTGATGGGACTAATTCCCAAGGAAGCAGCTGTAGGATTACAGCCCTACTCTGTTTTAATTGTGGCTTGTCTGAATGCATGTAACTCAAATGATAAACATTTCTAGATTTTTAACAAACGTTTCAGGACAGATCCGTTTTCTCCCATCACTAAGAATAATGAAGTCAGAAGGGAAATGAAAAAAAAAGGTCTTAATGAATCTAATTGTTGCTTTTGTACTTTTTTAGTTGCGTCGGGAAGCTCGTCAGAGGCGGGAGTATCTTTACCGTAAAGCTCAAGAAGAAAAACTCCGGACTCTCCAAGAAAAGAAAGAAAAAATTAAAAAGGCTCTGGATGGTACACATTAATGACTTGGAATTGCAATATATAACAACAGGGTTGTATTGAGGGCCAGTTGGCCTTTAAGTAAGCCCTACTGAACTTAGTGGATTCTATATCTAAGAAAGCATGTATAGTTTGTCCTATAATTGAACCAATGTGCTTTTTATTCACTTATTACAATTGTTCCCCATGTTTCCTTTCATTTACTCAAGACTTCTCCTCAAAAGGTATCTTCACAAATAACCTTGAGAGGTAGACCAGGTGCATAATTATCCATGAATTAATAACTTTATGGAGATTTGAAACTAAGTGTCTTTAGTGCTTGTCTGGCATTCTAATCAAACAAGGGCTGGGCTTTAAGAAGGGATATGCTGATATATTTCAGCCAGCCAATCTCATAGAATTGTTGAAAAGTATTTTTTGAGAAAGCCAGTATAGTGTAATGATTTTACTAACTAGGATAAAGAAGACCCAGATTCAAGACCCATTTCAGCCCTAGACCTGACATTTCATCAGACAGTTTCCGTTTACCAACTTCAAAAGATGGCCATTCTAGGTATAAAATTGGAGGAGAAACGGAAAAAACAGGATATAATTCTAATAAAAAAGGTGGGAATGTTGTCCTTGTAAACTTTTCAAAATCCGATTGAAAGAGCTAGGTCTTGCAGTTCTTACAATACTCGCCTAAAACAAATAATGATGGGCATGCTAGCTGGTGAATGGAAGAATCCTATCCTCAACTTTACTTTCTTATAAGGATTGAATTATTCTTATATTTGTCTTATTTTTTCTTTTCCTTATTTGCTTTTTTAGGTTCAGTCCGCTTGAATTATTGTATTTTATATATTTTTATATTATACAATCAGGGTAATATTATTTGTATAATATTTTGTGATTTTTAAAAAAATATAAGTAGTAAACCATCTAGAGTTGTTGGAAGTTGGTGAATTATAATGTGTATAAATGAACCAATAACACACGCAATAATGTGGATTTTCACAATTTTTTAAAAGCCATCTGTGCTTTTCCCTTCTAGAGAACTGCCTGATTCCCACAGAACTTCGGAAAGAAGCCCTAGTCCTCCAGAAAGCGCTGGAGTTTGATGATGGAGGGGCAGAAGGTGAGTGGGTCATTGGAGCCAAACCTCTGTGCTACCATCCCCAACCTGGAACCCTCTAAATGCTTTCTGGGGAATCTGTCTCTGAGAAGGTTTGTAATTATGACATTGGCCTGGCAGGAGTAACGAGTCATGTGGATGATGAATACCGCTGGGCTGGTGTGGAGGATCCCCGTATTATGGTTACCACCTCCCGTGACCCCAGCTCCCGCCTCAAGATGTTTGCCAAAGTAAGTAAACAGTAAATGCGTTGCCCTGCTTTAGATGGAGGCGTGGCTTTAGAAAGCAGATTGATGGAGCTGGCTTGACTCAGTAGCTTAGTAGAAGTCTTACTTTGCTTATTGGAGGACCTGCAGTCTTTCTGGGACTACTGAATACAAAATCTGGCTACCAGCCTGCCTGAAGAGAAACTCATTGAAGAGGTTTACTTTGAGCCAGACACCAAACCCACTTCAGCTCAACCCTGGGCAGTTAGGAGGTCAAAGCAAATGGTTTAATAGAGACTTTGTGCAGGGGATCACCTCTAAGATCTCAGCTCAAGCTTTCCAGATTTAAAAAACAACAACAGTAGAGTGAATCATTAGGTACGGTGACATCAGTTGCTTCTGTTCAGAAATCTGATTGTAAATGGTTGCTTATAATTTCATGTGTTTTTCCCATGTTCCGTTTAGGAAGTGAAGCTAGTTTTCCCTGGGGCCCAGCGAATGAACCGAGGCAGGCATGAGGTGGGTGCTTTGGTCCGTGCCTGCAAAGCTAACGGGGTCACCGACCTGCTGGTGGTGCATGAGCATAGAGGGGTGCCAGGTACGTGATTTGGAAACAGTACATACTAGATACTTGTGCTTTGAAACCTGTTGTTATGAGAGCGTATCTAGTAGAGATTCAGTGGTCATTTTATTGCACTTGTACTGGACTTAAGGAGGACGGTTTGATGGAATCATACAAAGGGGCAGCTCTGCTCATTTGGAAAGGGGCTGAAGTTGCTTGTTTGATGTCAAACCTATCGGCAGTGGCTCTACTCTTCAGAAGCAATGTAATGCCTTCCAGATACTTTATGTTACAGTTCAACAATCCTTTGCTAACTTGCCTCAGGTTGAGGAGAGTTGAAATCCAGTATGCTGCTTACTTGACTCTAGGTAGAAGTTAATATTTAGTGGTAAAGTGTAGGGTGTGCACCCGCCTACTCCCAGGTTCAGTGACCAGATATCCAAGTAGAGTTGGGAAGACTTCCATCTGAAGCTTCTGATGATGCTGAGCTAGATGGAATAGCTGGTTATGAGCAAGGCTTAAGCAGAATTGGTGGATAAAGCATCATTCCCACACATCAGGTTGTGTCATAATAATGATTTCTTTTTTCAATGGATTCATCTTCTTCCATTGATAGTAACTGGGCCTAACTAGTTTCCCTTCTCCTTGTTTCCACTTCTTCATTACTTAGATGGACTCATAGTTAGCCACCTGCCTTTTGGTCCCACTGCCTACTTCACCCTCTGCAATGTGGTCATGCGCCATGATATCCCAGACATTGGCACCATGTCAGAAGCCAACCCCCACCTCATCTTTCACAATTTCACGTCTCGTCTTGGACAGAGGGTAAGATGAAGCGGTAGATCAGAATGTTGTTTCCTCAATGTTTGACAACTGTTTAGACTGAGATTGAAAATCAAAACGGAGAAGGTAGCTAGCAGATCTGCAAAACATCTGACAGATGGCAGGGCAGGAAATCCTTTTTGACTTGACAGTAAGATCTACTGGCAAAAATGTGTGCCAAAGTCACTAAATGTGATTGCTATTTTCTGGATTTACAAAATGTATCTGTCAGTGTTCCAAATACCATGTAGAATCAAATCAGAATCGAAGGCAAAACTATGCTTAAAGTTCCAATTTGATAAAGCAGGCATGTTGGCACATAGCTGTGGGATCCCAACTCTGGAAGTTACATCAGAATCCCACCCAGTTAAAAGTTCATGATCTTGTCTCCACACCCACAGTCCATCACATGGTCCAATCTCCTTCTTCCACGCTGGCATCCATGCCCAGCTTCTTCCAGTCAGGTGTGAAAGTGCGGAAACAAAGGATGACCTTGACTTCTAGCAAAGAATGAAAAACAATACATTCCAAACGCCTACTCCTTCTATCCCCCCCGCCCCCATTGACTATACTAAAGAAACAGCATAATGAAATAAGAGAAAGTGTGGCAGGCCAAAATTCTAAAAGGAATATAAATGCAGGCCTGACAGTATCAAAGCAGCTGAACACACTAGGTCTATTCAATAGACTAAGCCACAACTAAAACAAAATAAAACCAGGATTAAAGCTGTTAGATCTTTTACTGTCTTAAGTTAGCATGTTGTGAACTCAGCCCCTGAAACCAGTGAAATCCACTCTACAGAAGTGAATGTAGGAGTTTTACTTTAGCCTGGATGCATCAGTGTTCTTTATATGGTATTTTGGGCAAAGTAAAGATGTGAGTATCAGAGAAGTGGCACAATCACTGGAGGTTTTCTCACCTTTTTATCTATCAGAAATCATACAATTAGTATTTTAGTTGAGTTACTAAAGATAATTCTAGGTGAGGATTATGGGAGGTCCATGGTCAAGCACATTCAAAGATTGTCATGTGAGTTAAATCTGATTTAATAGCCTGATCTTGCAATTGTGTTCAGTTACATATTTCTTTAAATCTGATCCCATTAAAGGAAAACTTAACTATAGGATCATTCGATACTTCATTCACTATTGTTTCCAACTTTCATCACACACCATCCACTTTCTACCACCAAGGTTCTGGCATTTCGCCCTTTCTCCTTCATAGGCCACTAGTATTCTCAAGTACTTGTTTCCAGTACCTAAAGAAGACAGCAAACGAGTCATCACCTTTGCTAACAAAGACGACTATATCTCCTTCAGGTATGTGTACCTGGTTTGGATTCTGGGTGACGCTGAGCAGAAATGATTAGGAGAGCCAAGAGAACACAAATTTCACTGGTGCTAGATTCTTTGTTGTGAAGTCTTGTTCACGTACAATGCTCTGGGTGGTAGTATAATCTTCTGCAATTTGGTCCCTTCTGAATAGTTGGATTATAATTGCTATATTTGTTGTAGATTGTGGTAAATGTTGTCCCAACACATGTGAAGGGACTCAGGCTGAAGAAAGATGAGAGAGCATTTTTCAAGCTGCTTTGGAAATAAAATGGATGGGCAGCCATGGAGGGCATTTGTGGGTTTATTTGTGGATTTGCTTTAGTTCTGCACTTTATTGATTCTTTCAAAATGCCAAAGGAGGGAAACCACAACACTTTTCTTTAGCTACTGCTGCCTGCTAACAGTTTGAGATTGTCATTATTTAATAATTGTCAGTAGTTTTCAAATACAATAGGTCACGAAAGTTGCCTCTGCAGAGTCTTCAGTAATCTAGTGCAGTGTTTCTCAACCTTGGCAACTTGAAGATGTCCGGACTTCAACTCCCAGAATTCCCTAGCCAGCGAATGCTGGCTGGGGAATTCTGGGAGTTGAAGTCCGGACATCTTCAAGTTGCCAAGGTTGGGAAACACTGATCTAGTGGGCAACTTAATCACTTTGTGTGTAGTACCTGTCCATCATTGAAGTACCCAATGGTGGGCAGGATAAAAGTTTGTAAATAAAGAAATAAACTTTATCCCTGGCTTATGTTCTACTTGGAGTATGCTGCAATTGGGTTCATGCAACGTGTAACACCAAAATATAGTTTATCTATTGTTTAATTAATGTAGAGTCAACTAACAAGTTGCGTTGTTAGAAATGTCCTCAAAGAAGATATGAATGCAGATGTTAACAGATAGAGTTAATTGTAGAGGGGATGGATTGAATGAAAATATGCACACTGTAGCTGGCTCTGCCATGGGGAGAATGAAAAGACCGCCTCAGATGTGGAGCCATTTGAAAAGGCAGACAACTATGAGTTTGATTTATATTTGGTCATCAAATATGAGAAGAGACATTTGCCAATATGGGGTTTGTGTCACTTTTGCTGCTTTGCTTGAAATAATGAAGTGTTTGGCCTTTGCAGCTGTGATTTGGGTTTAATGGGTGGAAAAACTTAGGAGGAGGAGGAGGGAGGACCAAAGAGCCTGTTGCTGGGGAAGAGGACTGCTCTTAATTCTTCCCAGTGCTTACTCTATAATTTTCCAATACTATCTGGGACAGGCACCATGTCTACAAGAAGACTGACCATCGGAATGTAGAGCTCTCTGAGGTCGGGCCAAGGTTTGAAATGAAATGTAAGTATCACCATCAAACTATGAACTGTGAAATCAGAAACTTTGTCTCCATCACTGACTTGCCAGAGCAGTTTTAACCAAGTCACTGTTCTCTTAGTATCTCCTACATTTTTATTTGTTTGTAACCCACCTTTATTATTTTTACAAATGATTCAAGAAGGGGAATATATTCAATACACCTTCCTCCTCCTGTTTTCCCCACAACAACTCTGTGAACTGGGCTGAGAGAGAATGATTGCCCAAGATCATCCAACTGGCTTTCATGCCTATGGCAAGACTTCAACTCATGATCTCCTGCTTTCTAGCTTGGTGTCACTAGATCATAGTCTGTCTGTCTGTCTGTCTCTCCCTCTCTATCCCCCCCCTCTCTTTCTCTCTCACACACACAGAGGGAGGGAGGGAGATGGATTGGGAATCCAGTTAATGGTTGGGAAATATAGAAGTCTGAACCTGACAGCTGGTTAGCAAGTGGACTCAATAAATATGTGAAAAACAAATCTGCTATGAACAGAGGGACAACTTCAACTTTGTAGCAATATGTGCTTAGATTTATGTACCACTTCACATACCATTTATGTGCCACTTTAGAGAAGCTTTACAGGCTTCTCTAAAGTGGTTTACAGAGTCAGCACATTGCCCTCAGCAATCTGAGTCCTCATTTTGCTGACCTCAGAAGGATGGAAGGCTAAATCAACCTTTTGATACTTGATACTGTATGTATCAAAAGCATTGAAGAAGAAAAAGGAGGAGAAAGAAAAGAAGAAGAGATTTTGGAATAATCTATGTGTTGGAACAAGTTCTACTGGGAATTCTAGGTATTGTTCAGCATCCCTTGAATGGCCAAAGCTAATCTATAATGTCACTATATTGTAGGCGTAAATGGAATGGCTTTTTTCAGGTAAAACCTCCCAAGTCAATATTAGAAATATCAAGCTTTGAGTAAACGGGTGTAGAAAGGAAATCTATCTTTTTATCTGACTTTTTCTCCCCATCTTTTTTTAAAAATATGGCTGACTCCTCAGTAAAGAAACACCCACCTCCAGCCCTACTATTTCCAACAAATGGCAATTAAAGCAATAAGACACAGTATACTGTATGCAAATTGCAGTATTTTTTAGAGTACGTGAAGTCCTCAGTTACTTTTCTCACAATTAAGGTCATGGGTTGTAATCCGATTTCCCCTGAGGTTGACAACAATGTTTTTCAAAAGGATCTGAAGTTCTAGCATGAGTCAATCTGCTTATTTCCTTCCTCACAAAAAGAGGCAACATTTAGCACAATTCTTACTTTATTGTGCTACAGATGACATAATGGAACAGTTTTCTGCTGACGTTGACTGTAAGGCTGCTTCTTAAAAGAAAATGGCTTCCTTGTTCAAGAGCGGTATCCTCTAGTTATGTTTGGTCAAGTCTTGCAATTCAATGTAGCTGTGGCCACATTGATTGGAAATTATGAGAATTATAGTTTTCCACATTTGATTGGGCACATTTGAGAATGCTGTGCAGAAAAACTTTTGCTGCCATGCATCTTGTGCTTTCATACATAATTAAATTATATTACATAGCAATAGCAGTTCGACTTATATACCGCTTCATAGGGCTTTCAGCCCTCTCTAAGCAGTTTACAGAGTCAGCATATCGCCCCCACAGTCTGGGTCCTCATTTTACCCACTTCGGAAAGATGGAAGGCTGAGTCAACCCTGAGCCGGTGAGATTTGAACCGCCGAACTGCAGATAACAGTCAGCTGAAGTGGCTGCAGTACTGCACTCTAACCACTGCGCCACCTCGGCTCTTACATGGATTTTCACTATGCACTTTAAAAATTGAACCAGTATGTAGATTTGTCCATGACTCTTGTCCTTGTGCATTTGCTTCAAGGAAGAGAAAAAGTAACACAGTTAATCAATATTTAGGGGTCACAAGATTTTTCAAACGACTGCTATGTCTGCTGAACACTAGAATGGATTGGGTCACCTTTTCAGAGTTCAGTATGATTCTCTTCCTGTCCCCATTCTGATCTAAAGACAATGCAGTTAGGAGCATGGATAATAATCAAGAAGTTGCTGATTCAAATCTCAGCTGACAAATGAAGCTGAGAGGCTTCTTTTTGTAAATCAGAATCTTGGTCCATCAGAATCATTATGATATGAGGGCTGTGTGTGTGTAATTACCATTCAATAATGGCTTCTGGTGACTGGGTTTCCTCAACTTTAGAACAACATGTTATGGCTTCATGACTCATCCTTAAACATACTGTTGCTTAATGCAGTGGTTCCCAAACTTGGCAACTTTAAGACTTGTGGACTTCAACTCCCAGAATTCTCCAGCCAGCTCAAGTTTGGGAACCACTGGCTTAATGTAATCTGTGAGACTCAAATACTGGGAATGATTATTGTGGTTTCAGGATTTGCTTTCAGATATCTGGCTGGCTGTTTGGAGGTTGTTGTCCTAGAACAAGATCTGATGTGCGCCAGCTAGGCCACTTTACTATGGTTTAAAGAATAATGGTAGTTTGAGTTGACATATATTGCCATGCCCTAATCTCTGGTTGTGTTACACTGGCTAGGGTCTCAACATGCTAAGCCAAAATTTAACAAACCTCATTAACGTTTAACTGCAGGTGTGAACTCAGCCACAGCATAAAATGCTCTGAGTTTTAAGGATTTTTTTCCATTGTTCGGGTAGGGTTTAATCTTTCCTTGTCCTCTGTCCTAAAAAAATCATTTTGGCGGACATTCAGACACTGACATTGAACCAGACTGAAAACAGAATTGTGGGGTTTATTTTCTGAAGCACAGAACACGACAGCCAGCTCAAACTTTTCTTCTCTTATATTGCAGTATATATGATCAAACTGGGAACGTTGGAGCAAGAGAACACCGCTGATGTGGAGTGGCGCTGGCATCCTTACACCCACACAGCCAAGAAGAGAAAATTCCTCAGTGTTGAGTAGCAGTGCCTCAAAACTGCCACCTTCTCATCAAAGAAGCAGACTGTAATGTTGGACCTTACATGAACTGGATTCTTCAAGCTTGCTTCATAAATACAATTTTTTCTTTCTTTTTGCCTGTTCTAGGAGTGATCATCTTTTTGGTTCATGTCAGAATTTGGTTCTTACCCATTCCAGAACTTCCCTATTCTGACCTGGAACTCGTGATGTTTGTCCAGCAGAAAGGGAGCTTTTGCACTTCCTTGTTCTGACTGATTGCCTTTGTGTATATTTTTATTTAGCAGAAACATACTGGGTAACATTGGAGCTGGCTGTCCAGTTCTAAAAATTGTCTATGGAGAATTAATTTTGAAAGCTATATTAGCGGCAAAGACGACAGTCAAATAGCAGTTATTAAGACTCACAATGATGGAGGACACGTCCGCTGTAACTTACCATAGCATTATGTGACTCTAGTGCTTTCTCAGCCCTCCAATTGGTTTTTATTACTCCATGCCTGCAATTTTTCTACAACAACTTCTTTCCTCTTTTGGTATCTAAGGTGGTAATGCTACCTAAACATATAAATAGGACTAGTAAAGAGATTACAAAATGGGGCAGGAGACTTTCCTCACCTGCTGTTATTTTTGCTTCGCTAGATGTGTCTGTTGAGCCCACCCCAAATGTCTGGGTTGTAATTCACTAAGCTGTAGTTAACTAACTAATCCGCACTGGCTAGGTTTACAACGAAGTTAGCTAAAATGCAGCACAATCACTTGACATTATCAGATTATCGGAATTACGTTGGAAGCTCTGTTGAAGAGGAGCACATGGGAGAATGAAAGATTCCTTTCCAAATAGTGTAGTTAGCTCTCCACGCGGGTCATGCAAAGTACGTTTCTTCTGAAGACGGAATTAGCCAAACCTGTTCCGATACAATTCTTTGGAAGTGTGTAATTGTACGAGAGGTACCCTTTCTTCAGCACCGAACGTTTATAACTTTTGTACAATGATTTTCTCTTGGCTCTGGTTTCTTTTTTGCACGCTTTCCATTACAAAATGAGACCATCCAAGTGGTGACCCGGGTTAGGCTCACACCCTGTATGTCGGAACCATCCACTTAAGGAGAACATTACATATTTTGTTTAATTGGCTACCTGTTCCAGATTTCCCTGGCATGATTATACCCAGTGTTGGGTCTAAATGATTATTGCTGAAAATCTCCAAGCCAGCCACGCTCTTGGCTCCCACCAACAAGATCTGGTAAAGAAAAGTTCATGTCAAAATATGTTCTTCTAACTGGAGGATTTGGTCTTAGAAATGTCCTGAGCTTTAGCTGCTCATAGTAGCTGTCCTCTGTGGTCAGAAAAACTTGCTGTTTTTGTGTAGTTGCTCCTTATGAAGGAGGTGAGCATCTAGTATTTAGTGCTCCCCTTTTTAGTAGAAGTAGCAGCCTTCTTTCCTCCCTGCTGCTAAAGAATGTCCTTCTCAGAAGTGCAGCTTACACTCTGCTCCACTCAACAGGAGGGTCTCTTGGTCCTTTTGGCTTCCCAATCCGGATGTTAAATCCTATGGAAGAATAGGAAAAGCCAGTAATGAAATTCAAAAATTTTCCCTGTAGGTTCTGTGGGCGTGGCTTGGTGAAGTGTGGTTTGGTGGTCATGTGACTGAGTGGGCGTGGCTTGGTGCAACAAGCAGGAACCTCACAGAGTCACAGAGAGCTCAAAAACAAACTATCGCACAAAAATAACAATCTACATAACTGATTCACACACAATCTCACACACAATCAGCTGTGCCATGCGATTGTCGGAACCTTTTCTTAAACTTTCCTTTAGCATTTTTTTACTACCGGTTTGGGAAAATATGTAGTAAAAAGTCCTTTTAAAAAGTTTTTTAAAAGGTTCCCAAGATCATGTGGCACAGCTGATTGTCAAAGCTGATGGTTGGAACCTTTTTTAAAAAACTTTTTTAAAGCATTTTTTAACTACCTACTGACCCAAACCGGTAGTAAGAAAATGCTCAAAAAAAAAAGTTACGACGATCAGCTGTGCCGTGCGATTGTTGGAACCTTTTTTTAATTATTATTTTAAATCACTTTTTTATTATCGGTTCGTGTGGACCGGTAGAATTTTTACTACCGGTTCAGGTGAACTGGCATTTCACCCCTGGGAAAGGTGTTGGACACCATACTGGCCCCCCCCCCCCCCCCCCCCCCCCAGGATTTTGCCCACCTTATGTAGCTCAGCCTAAGGTACATAGTGTATGCCATTTGATTTTAATTCTCATTTTATCAGTTTGTTGCAGGAAATACAAGACACAAGTCCTGTATAGTCCAGGGGGGGGGGGGATTCAAAGAGCACTTGTCAGGGTCTCATTAAAGCAGCTGTCTCTTGCCTAGAATTGCAAGCCAGCAATGCAGGAAAAGATGCAACTTTTTAAAAGGGTTACTGAAAGTGCTATGTGAATATATGCACCAAAACCTCTTTTCTCCTTTAAATCCAAAGGACTGAACAGCCTAACCAAGATACTGACAGAAGTCTTTGCCCTCTTTCAAATTTTCTGAATAGTTGCATCTCTTTGTTGTTGAATGTGAGAGCTTCACATTAGTACTATTGATATATAGGAGGATTTTTAACTAATGAACAAGTAACACTAGTTTAATGTTTTATTTCTCCATAAACAAAGTCATCGAACATGCAATGTGCCACTGTGAAAAACTGACAAATACAGTAACTAGCACCACTTTTTAGCTATAGTGACCGCAGCGAAGTGCTTCCTTTAACTGGTAACTGTTCTCTGGTATCACTGTACTGGAATTTTGGGGCATTCTTCTATGGGGAACTATTTCAGTTAAATAACAGGTTTTTAGCATAAACTATGTGATTCAGGTCATGCCATATTTCCATGGGGATTAAGTCCTGTAGAATTCTTTGATACGGTGTAGAAGTGATGGAAGTGTTAAGGTCCTGAGAAAACAAAGTATTCCCAAACTATGACACTACCAGCTCCCTGCTGGGCAATTGGTATGTTTTTATTGTGCGTTGTGGTGTTTTGTTTCTATCAAAGATAATGAAGACCGTGCAGCCTGAAAAGTTGTGCTGTTGGCTCATCTTGCCTAGAATATTCCTCCAGAAATGTGGAGGATCAAACTACAGTGGCTTTTGGGTAAACTTGAGACAAGTATCAATGTTTTATTAGTAAGCAATGGTTTCTTCCTCACTACATTCCCAAGAATCACATTTTTATCCAGTGCTTTTCTGGTGGTAGAATTATGAGCACTGACTTTAATAAAAGTGAGAAGGGCCTGCAGATTCCTGGCTATTGTTTTGGGATTCTCTGCCACTTCCTAGACAATTTTATGTGGTGCTTTTGGAGTGGTTTTGTTTCTTAAGTCATTCTCAAAAAGATTCTGGATTGTCTTAACCTTTTCCACATTAAGACTGAATGACTCATGCTCCAGAAATGGCTATGTGAACTTTTTCAGACTAATACACATCAATGACGTATTTGCACATGACTTTAGACATTTCTTTTGAATGGGTGCATTCTTAGGATCTGTGTGGTGCCTCTTAGGATCTGTGTGGTGAGAATTTCACTGTAATGAGGGGAGTTCATGTTTGTGAAATTTACCTATTGCAAGACTGGTCCAAAGCAGCCCCGTTTTAAGGAGATACCTCCATAGCTACCCCTAGCTGTTCCTTCAAATGCTGGCTGGGGAATTCTGGGAGATAAATTCTTAAACTTGCAAAATTTGAAAAACACTTCATAGCACGAAACAGCATAGCTGACTTTGTTTAGAAATAAATGGAACATGGAGAAGGATTGGTGTTTATTTGCTCAGTCTCTCTTGATTTATCATTAGGATCCACACAATGCCCTGATCACATCAGTGACAAAGGGACCAGAAGTCAAGGAAGCTGAAGTTGGAAGGAGCAAATGCTTTTTTGGGAACTGCAGCTCTTCTTGGTCACACCTTAAACCAAATGCAGCCATGGAGGGAAACCACATAACCCCAGGGGGGAAAAAGTTAGTTGTTCTAAGAGATTGTCAACAGGTGTTCTGTCAATACTTTCACATGCTTCAAATTACACCTAGGTGCTGTACAACCAACTTAGATACCGAATTTGGGACACAAACGGTCTCTCCTCTCTCTTTTTTGTCCTATACTGAAGCATCCTTGACATTTCTTAAATTCAGTTAAGGACAGCTAAAAACAAATGGGTACTTGAGTCGCTAGATCAAGATAATTCAAATGGATATGAAATTACTAGAATCCCCTACTATTCTCAATGTTAATTCAGTAAACAAAAGCTATTCATAAAGTAGGTTTTTTAATGGTTATTTTGGGGGAGTGAAATGACACCTTCTGAGTTAAAGTTGTTGAGACAATGAATATGAGTTCATCTTTGATAACTGTGCAGTTTGTTAGCTGTTCTGAAGGAACCAGCAGCATGAATAGTGAAAACTAAGTGCTCACTAATTTTCTTACACAACCAAGTGGGCATTTCACTAATTAAAGCTGCTGCTTATTGAGGCATGACAATATTTTCTCCTTTAGCAGAAAAACATTAAAAGTTCACTGTTGAAGCTGAAAATTGCTGTTTAATTGACTTTAGTTACAATTAAAAACTATGTGTATTCAGTTTTAGATACCAAAAAATTCTTCCCCCTCCTGGAATGTTAGCATCACAATGAACTAAAGATCTCCTTACTCACCCATGGCAGAAGACCCTGCAGTATTTGGGCAAGTCCTGAGTGCGGGGTCGGCCACATCCTCATAGGTTTGCATAGGGACAGTCCGAGACAATGATGGTACTGTTCAGGGACAAAAGTGATTTTCTGACACTTGCCAATCTAGTACAAGAAATGAGTTAAGGAAATATTCTGCTAGAGCTAGAAAGCTAAAAGAACCTCACTTCCAAGCCTGATTCAAAAGTGTCATCTCTTTTAAAAGGGGTGTTAAAAAAAGGAAGGGAAAACTTTAAAGTCTTTTGGTACTGTGATGCCTTGGCCAAATCTAGAATAGTTAAAAATGAAGCAGTGCAACTGGCTGTGGGCTATATTAGCTGCATCACATTTGTACACCAAATGTTTCAAAACAAAATGTTTTGCACACTCCTATTTTAAGGTCATCCAGAGTACCTGTCATTATTGGGAGATGTAAAGCTGTCCAATTTTAAAGTGATACACAAATGTGATAATACAAGTAGTCCTCGACTTACAACAGTTCATTCAGGGACTGTTCAAAGTTACAACCCGACTGAAAAAAGTGACTTATGAGCATTTTTCACACTTATGACTGTTGCAGCATCCCCATGGTCATGTGATTTATATTCAGATGCTTAACAACTGGCTCACATTTATGACGGTTGCAGTACCCTGGGGTCATATGATCGTCTTTTGCAACTTTCTGATCAGCAAAGGCAATGGGGAAGCCAGATTCACTTAACAACCTTGTTACTAACTTAACAACAGCAGGGATTCCCTTAACAAATGTGGCAAGAAAAATCATAAAATGAGGCAAAACTAACAGCAGATTTCTTAGCAACATAAATTTTGGGCTCAATTGTGGTCGTACATTGAGGACTACCTGTGCAAGGACAGCCTAGTTCTACTGATCTATTCTGAAGAGTAAAAACTCTCTGATGCCTCAGTAGAGATCATTTATGTAGATGGGTGCTATATATCAAGGGGGGGGTAACTTATGGCTTTGAGATGTTGATTTACAACTCACTTCATGGCAAAGGAGTGTGAGAGTTGGCTCAGCAATACCTGAAAGTCCACATCTTTGAAGTTTCCCCATCTTTGAATCACAGCAAAGGCCATCACTGAAGTGATTTACCAATAAAGGAGAATAGTTGTAGCTCAGGGTTGAAATGAGGAGTCCTTGGTACTCTTTGAATTTGGTTATTTTCTTGTAGATGTTTCATTACCCAAACTAGGTAACATTAGGGATGGGATTCAGCCGGTTCGGACCGGTTCGGGCAACCAGTAAGTCCGACGATCAACTGAGAGCGAACCGGTTCACTCCGATGATTAGGTTGGGATGCCCGCCTGTCCTTGTGCTTTACTTACCTATATCTTCTCAGCTGAATAGCGCAGCAGAGTGAATTGTCGCGCCTCAGCTGTGTTACTCCCCAAGAAGTAATGTGAAAAGTAAGTTTTTGTAAAACTGCACATGCGCGCACAGTTTTACAAAACATGTGATCACTGAAACATGCGATCACTGAAGCGGTTGTTAAACCAGCAGGATCCTACCACTGGGTAACATTGTCAGTGCACTAATGGATAATAAAATATCTACACACACACAACCAAGCTCAGAGAGCACCAAGGATGCCTGAAGTGAGTTAGTTGGAAAAGATATATACTATAGAGAGCCTGTTTGGTGTGGTGGTTAAGGAATCAGGAGAGAAACTAGAAGGGTGTGAGTTCTAGTCCCACCTTAGACAAAAAGCCAGCTAGGTAACTGGGCTAGTCCCTCCCTCTCAGACCATCCCACCTCTCAGAGTTATTGTAAGGAAAAGAGGAGGAGGAATGAGTATTAGATACGTCCACAGCTTTGAGTTATTTATCAAGTAATAAAGGGTAGCATAACATTCTAATAAATAGAAGGCAATTATCTTCTAACGTAAAGTTAGGCAAAATGAAGCTTTATATCCAATAGACTGTGCGCTTCTCTTATATAAATTTGATAAATGAATATACTTTTTTGACTCTATGGTTCTCTCTTTGTGGTTTCCTTGGCAACAACCCTAAGATGGCCTGTTGTTGCTCACTTCCAGATAGAAGGTGAATCCTATATAAGCCCATTTGTTCTTACCTTTCTTTCCGGACGAGGAGATAAAAGCCTAAGAAGCAGAAGGTGAAAAAATAAAATTGAATAAAAAGGACTTTTCATTTTGTCCCAAGAAGAAGTGAGTCCTATAATATCTGTGAATTACAAAGCTGAAGCTCGTTCAGCTGGATGTTGCATCCAATATTCTGCATGTTCCTCAAACATCCCTGCTACCTACATAGCAGTTGTGTTTACACAGTCTGCTCACTAGCTTCACTCCCAAAACATGCTAAATCCTCATTAGGGGTTTGTACAAATGAAAACTCTTTTGTTGAGTTTATGGTTCAATGCATTGTGCAAACCTAGGAAGTGGATTAATTTACTAACCAAGTGACACATGATATATATGCCAACAACAGATAATACGATACTCAAGAGGAAAGAGAAATTTACTTTCATTTCTTTGGCTCAACGTGAATTGGGCCAAAGCTAAGCATGAATTTCCTTGGTCACTGCCCACATTTTTCAAAAGGTTGCTTAGGAGTCAAACAACATGATCAACATCCTAGATTTCTGGTTTAGTTTTTAATGGAGCAATAATGATTACTTGCAAGAGGCTGATGAAAAAGTTCCCTTTTTCATAAGAAAAGAACTATTGTATCTTTTTCAGGCAATATATAAATAAATATTCACTGAAAAGCAGAAATAGGACATCCTTACAAAATAGGCAGAATAACGGTGAAAGGTGAAGGCTGAAGTGAAAAAGTTATTTTAAAAACTAATAAATGGGATGCATATATTATGGCATCTATGGGTAGGGCTTGGGGAAACAAAGATCAGTCTACTTACTGGGGGCATCAGATTCCTGAGAAGAGTTTTTCCAAGTCCGTTTGTGTGAGATGGAGAGGAGGTGACTCCAGAACTGGACTCTCCTGAAGAAGAGATATTGGGGAAGGGGGGGTATTTTTCTTCAGATTATAAGAATAAAGAACCCAGAAAACCTCTAATTCCAGTTTGTCAAAAAACTTTGCAGTTATACTGAGTTCTTAATAAACAATGAGATCTAGGTCATTTCATAATTTATTTTAATTGGGTAAAAGCAAAATTTATACCCAATAATACTAGACTCCCATTGGCATTTTCTGCTAAGTGTTGTAAATGGACAGAAAAGCCAAAATCTGACATTTTATCCATTTTCAGAATAACAAAGATATTCTTTCCTTAAACTTGCAATTCTCAGTGGGTTTTGAAATTTGGCACAATCAAGTAAGAAAATGTAATATAGTTTGGGACCTATTTCTGATAATGTTCATACATCCATTGTTGCTTGGTTAGTTATAGAAGGCCTAACGGACTTGTTCAGACCTTGATATCCCATAATCCATATATTGCTACCTAATCGCTGGGTTTCCACGTCAGATTAAGTCAAAAATTAAACACACCTCATTATGGCTTTGTACAAATGCAAACCCAGTTCAAAAACCTCTTCAGCTATTAACTGACAAACCATTCACATATGCTTACACAAAGGTAAACATACAAAGAGTTCAAGGTAAGCATTTTCAGGATTCCATTTACAATGGCTTCAGATCAGATAGCAATCTTTTAGCACGCCTATATTTTGTATCTTCAGTAAAATATGATAGCTTTTACAACATTGATATAAGGATAACATTTATGATGAGTTTTGATTACTACATAAATACTAAAGTTAATTTGACACAAAAAGTTAACATGGCCTGTTTAGCTGTGGTACATCGTGCAATCCATGATTTATTTGGGTTAAAATCATATGCCGACCCATAAAGAATAGTTTCCTTATCACAAGAGCTAGGTTCACATAACACAATAGCCCTAAATGACTGTATTCATTATTGGTACATTAACTCATGAGATTTGGGCTTGTTTCATTATTGCCACAACTGAGCCTTAGAGGTAAAAGGATTGTCAGTATGACTTTAAGTTATTATTACTTGTCAACATTACATGTTTTTTGGCTATATACACAGTAATTAAAATTGATCAAGCCATCAACAATTGTGGATTCTTCATTCAGGTGAGGGAGGATTATGTGGAACCAAAGTCATTAATGGATAATATTTGGAACACACCTGAATTACATCAATGGACGGAGGAGATGCACCTTTTGGTCAACATTTGTATTAATTGGTTTAGGGCAAAGAGATAAAAGAGAATTTTGATTAATCAGATCAAATTTTCTGGAACTATTTTGTTAATCATATGGTTTCTAAGCATTTTTAATTCTTTTCTCTTTGCTTTGTACTTTTAAATTATGCCTATTATTACCAATATTACATGTATTTTGCTCTTGCTTATGGCAATATGTGCGTGGGCACGCAAGCAGACATGCATTGCACACAAAACCCTTAGCCAAAGTCACAGACTCTATATTGGCCAAGTTAAAATACTGCTGTAAGCCCAAATAATTTAGCTCCTAGCACGCTATATGAACTTCAGCATCATGATTTATAAACAGTGGTTTACAGCTGAATTTGTAATATGGATTGTGCTTTAGTAAAAAAAAACATGCTTTAGTTAAACAATCTACATATAATCATATGTAAAAGTATGAATTCTTTAGCTTAGCTAATAAACCCAATCTAAAATTTACATTTCTGCATTTATGTTTCCACAGTTATTCTCACACATCACCTGTCAGAGATGAACTAAGACGGGGATTTTCACAAGCTGTATTCGGTGATGCCTTGTGTACAGGACTTCCAGGCAGAGAGTGACTGGCTTGTACTCCTGCAAAGGCACTGGGGTCTATTGATGGAAAGTCAGCCACGGTGCTGTTGTGTGGCTTCACAGCAGTATAATGCTGTGCCTCTCCGATGGACTTGTCCTCACTGGCAGGAGAAGCAGAAGAAGCTCCTGCTCCATTTCGCCGGAATTTGTTCACAACAGCATAAGTGTCACCCATGTTCTTGACGGGTTTTCTTGGCTGTTCGGGAAGGGGTGCTGGTGTTGGATCAGCAGGCACTGAGATGCTCCTAGATCAGGAAAAAAAAACCAGAGGCCCAAATGAAATACCACTTATCAGGATTTCAGCATAGTGAAATTTGTCTCAATTGAAGAATTAGAAAGAGATATGCTTTGTGATGTACAATGGTACATCCAATTATTTTCCTGCCCAGCTGAGCATTTTCCTGCCCAGCTGAACATTTTCCATATATGCCTTTCTGAGATGCCCAGGCCTGATGCTGATAATTGGGAGATGAGGCCATAAAGACTTTCATTACTCTTCAATCATTACAGTTTCTTTCCTGATTACAATGATTGTTGTTAGTTTTGTATTTATTTACTCTATTTACCCACACCAGTAAAAGGTACGATCATCCTCCATACTTCCAAGATGACTTAAAACTCAACACAAACATTTACAAGGCAAAACAACAATACAAGCACAATTATTAAATCAACCCATACAAAATATGACATACCCAAGTATGCATCAGTCTTATTAGAAGGACTTTCCCTCCCTCCTTAACATTGGACCCAGTGTCCACACAACCCTGGCTTTTCCCACAAGGGGTCATTACAGAAAAGGCTCTGCTGTTCTAGGGCTAATCATATCCCACTGCCCAGGCGCTGACCCTCAGCCTTCCTTACCGGAGGATGGAGCTTCGCTTGAGCAAGGGAGCAGTTGGTTGCCGGAGGGAGAGGGCGTCGTCATAAAGGGGAAGACGATTCTGTGCAAAACCGAAGAGAAGGGAAGTGAAAAATGTTTTAGGTGAGGACAGCTGTTTGTACTTCCTGTAGCAGGAAATTTAACATAAAGCAGATTAACCCTGAAGTAGCCTTCTCCATGCCAAAGAGAGAAAAGAACCACTAGAATTGCTCCTTGAATTTATTTCTTTATTAAAATCTATCCTGTGCTTCATTTCTTTTTGAAAAATTTCCTTTCCCTGAGTTTAGTATTTTGGATTTTGTCTGCTTGTGTTTAATTTTACAATAAAAATTAAAATAATTAACATTAAAATAATAAATAATGAAAATTTGCAATAAAACAGTCAAAAGGAAAACTTTGAATAAAGAGCCAGTTTGGTCTAGCAGTTAAGGCACCAGACTAGAAAGGAGAAGACCTAGGGGTGAAATGCTACCAGATCGAACCGGTTCACCTGAACCAGTAGTAAAAATCCTACCCGTTCATTCGAACCGGTAGCAAAAAAAATATTTTCCCGACGATCAGCTGTGACGCGTGATTTATATTAATCTAAATACAATACAATAGCAGAGTTGGAAGGGACCTTGGAGGTCTTCTAGTCCAACCCCCTGCCTAGGCAGGAAACCCTATACCATTTCAGACAAAT